TGGATCCTTGGGCATTCTTTTATTTATTCGGTAGCTTGTCAGGTAGACCAGAGGTCATATGACCAGGATCTTGGGATTACTCATCATGAGGTCAATGTTAGGTGGTGTGGGATTAGGGGGTTGCGCTGGCAGCAAATTTTATCTGGAGTGATCGCTTCGGCGATATGTGACGTAACCAGTTATACTGCTGATTCTGCTGATCCACGCTGGGTCAAGAGCGCACAACGCATAAAGGGTGTAACAAACCACCTCTTTTACAGGTAGGATTGCCACAGATCTTGCAGTAACCACAGCCTTCTAATGTAATGAAAGTCCAGGACACATTCAGCTCAGTTTTCCTTTTTATTTGATAAGAAAGCAGGTGCTTTAAATAATAATAAACAAACAAAATTCATTGCTCTTACTTGAGCTCTTACTAGACAGAAATCACTATCTGTAATTGGGTGGCTTTCCCACTTACCAATTTTCCCAAAAAAAAAAAGAAATGGATTTGCAATAAACACAAGTGTTGCTCGCTCTCCTAGCTTGCTTTTTCTCCCTCACTATGCAGCAGGCTGCTCTCTTCTTTTAAAGGCCTGTCTGCTAATTGACTAGCTACAGGTGAGTGCCAATTAGTAAACTCTTAAGTCAGATCCAAATTCTGGTCTGTTACACAGCAACTAGTGCTGTTGGAGCATTGGCCCACCCTGCTCTCCAAATGCTCCGCCCCAGGGACCCATACCGTGTTTTGCAGAGCATCAGTAATGTATATTGCAAACTTTAACATCTCTCCCTGGGGCATTTAACTGAAAATTCTCTGGTTTCTGTTTAGCAAATCAGGCCTGATGTATCTTCCTTCAACCACTATTCCACTTTTTCGCTCACAAGGGGTATAGTGAGGTGGATGTTGCTTCAACATGACAATATCATGAGTTGTACAATGCTTGGGTGGATTGGTGATTCCTCGTGTTGAACTAGAAGGAGATAACCATAATTCTATGTGTAATGATTTGGTACATCTTACTCATGTCGGTTTGAATACATTTAAAATGGGGTTACAATCAATAATTACACAGGTGCTGGCTTTGGGGGATGAATCCCCCTCCCTCTAGTAGGGGTGGGGGTCTGCGGTGGCAGGTTTCCTGCGCCAGCAAGTTTGGTAAATGAATAATGCCCGGACAGGCTTGGGGAGTCGAAGCCTGAATTTGGTTGATGACGAAGGACAGGCTGAAGAGGCTCTGGAAGAAGTTAAAAGTGTACCTGTCTGCTGGGTAAAACCAGCAGCTGACAGTATTTGGTTTTGCTGGTTTAAATAAAGCTGTGGCCGTTGCCCTGTGGGGATATTTATGGGATAATAATAGTAACAGTGAGAATTGCCCACTAATTCAATTCTCAGATCCCAAAGAACGTTTATCGTGTTAAGTGGAATGTATTTCATATAATAATATCACAATGTATAAAAATAGATTTTTATTTATAATAACAATCAATAATTAACAAATAATATTATGTAACATGCATGACAATAATCAATGAATATTCAGTATAAAATGGTATGCAATACAAAGAGATGGGTATTACGTTTCAATGGCTAAATAGCATTTTCCGTCAAGAATTCTGACGATTTATGACTATCTTTAACACAGGCTGAAAGTGAAACTTTTCACAGCGAAGAACAGAATTCCTCAGAGTGCAGCGTAAGGTCGTAAAGTTTAGCAGACAGTTAGAATAACCCTTTCAATGCTGGCTAGATCTCCTAGGTAGTTAAGATCTATTCTTATGTAATTTTTAAATAAAATAACATTTAAACCAGTTCATTAGCCATTTCCTGAAAACAATCCAATAAGAGAATCTACATATTATATAAGCAGATTTTTAATTTGTCTAAAAGATATCTATCTTAATTTAGAGCAAATCAATACACCTGGATAAAAACAGCGGTATGCTAACACGTGATAATATCACATCAATATATAATTATTCTTAATTCCACCTGCAGAATGGAATGTTTATAACTATATATTCTTAGTTAACTAAGATTTCTTAATATGGAAATCTGACCGTGCTTTATCCAGTCATATATAATGCTATTAATACATTTTAATTAATTTAATTTAATTAAATGAAACCAGTATAATTACCAGTTGAGTAGATATTTCATCCGATTGGTAGCCTCAGGAACTTATTTGGATGTCTCTCTCTGCATGGAGGTTGGAATCCCCAAACTTCCAATTCCTCTCTCCTCTCCTTTGCATCTCTTGCATCTCCCCCGTATCTCGTCTCTGCTATCTTCCCTTTGTCTTAACTTTTAAAGGGCCAGACTCTCTGTACGTCATCGGTTGATAACCCAATAGAAGCACTAGAGGTGTGGTTATCTTCCAGATCGCAATTTAGGTATTTGGTCTGTAGAGGGCAGTCTTGTCCCACTAAACATACCTATCCAGGAAAGAGTTAACTTTTCCTGGTGGCTATTTTGACGTCATTTTGCGTTATCTTTATAGCGCCATAATTTAAAATTTCAAAGGGTTTCTTAAATTTTGTCCAGACTTAGCGTCTGCAATTCCTGCCATAATTTCTGATATGACAGATCATGAACTAAGTTTACCCTTTTCCATACAATGGTACCTTATATATATAGACAGTTAAATATTAAATTATTTAATCTTCTCTGTCACAATTGTCTGGGTTTAGATTTGATTATATTCCATTAGCATTAGACAGTCTGTCCAACCCCCTTCCTTATCACTTGGCTTGTATATACTATGCATTCCTCAGCTCTGGGAAAGTGGTTAGCTTACAGATAGAAATTTAGTGTCTCTTTGTTAACTTGAAATAACAAAATGGAGTCTGGTCTGTTCAGAGTGACTCAGAATATACACTTTTAGTTTCTATCATAGCACAAAATGTCTGCCGATATAAATACTCTGACAGCCCTTACCCACTTAACATGGTTTTGCATTACTTATTGGGAATAGAAGGGTAACGGGATTTGGTGATCGAAGGAGCCAGCAGTCATGAGGGCCCTGCTCAATGAGCTTACATGCTAGAGGATGAAAGCAAGCCAACTGCCACCCGCACAATTGACTCTGCCAGTCTCTGCAGTCCTTCAAACAAATCTCTAAAAATGCACTTCTACAGAGAAGCCATCCAGCTCTCCCGTTAATTTCTCATCTGTTTTACCCTTCCTCTGCCATCTCCCATCTACTGTGCTCCCTCTTCCCGAAAACAGTTAATTGAGAAGGGGGAAGGCAGACACATGCTAGCACAGCTCTCCTGCCACATCCGTTAGCTCTGTGCAGCAAACAAAAAATGGGAAGAAATCCTGCCTGGCTGTCTGATTGACATTCAGGGAGGTATTTCTACCCCAGTTGTAAAAGTGCCTATTCCTATGGAAATCAGCACTTTTATAAACTATATAGCAAGGTAGATGGCAGGAACCGCACTCACTCCCAACGGCCACGGGTGCTCTGGAGCAGGACCAGCAATCCCACCACGATAAGGCAAACTAGAAAAACTCACAGGCACTCCAAATGTGAAGTCGCAGGCAGATTTATTGCAACGAAATTCACATGTGGAGTGCCTGTGAGTTTTTCTTGTTCATTTTTATAAACTGTCACAAATGTGACAGACTCCAGACATATAAAGCACGTCAGCCAGCTCAAGTGCTTTATGTGTGTAGAGTGTTTGTTTCAATCATAGCACGTGTAGCATGTTATTCTTAATCAAAGGGTTAATCTTTACTTTTGGTTTTGTAATACAGGAGACTTTATACATTTTGCCCACTTGAGGGAGCTCTCACCCACTTAAGCAGCAATATCAGGCAAGTTAAATCATGGTCGACTTACAGGACTTAAAATTCCAGGTCTTCCAGGGTTATTTACTTAACTGAGAATTCAAGGTGAAAACGGTGAAAATAGCCAAACTGGAAAAAATTTCTATGTAAGGTATGCTTTCAATTCAGACACTCTGGTCTTAAATTTGAAATTCACTTTCAATTCTCATTTCAGTAAATAACCCTGTTACACTACTACAAGGCTTTAAAAGTTGTTGCTGCAAGCCTTGAGTGTCCATGATACACTTACCAGGGGTAAATTTGTGCTTGTCAGTTCTGAATTTCCACTAGCCAGTCTCTAGCAGACATTTTAAATCCTGAACTACATATTATGAACTATGGCATATAAATCATAAATATCATAATTGATATCACTTTTGTATGATTTTAAAGTAGTGATTTTTAGAAATAAAATACAATATTGCATTTAAAAACAGCACGACCGTTTTATTTTATTACACAATAAATAGGTTTACAATAAATATTCCAAACACCAAACAAATAAATAAAATTTGCACATCATGAAATCACATTTTAGAAGTCATATAAATAATAAATTAAAATAAATAGAGTATTCTTTGATTAAATACATTCATAAATACCATAGCTTAATCGGATGAACATTAATAAACAATAAATAAATAATAAATAAATAAATAAATAGCTGATGTACTTTCATTACAGAATGATTTCGGTGAATTTGCTTTTTTTTCTGTTTATACCATATTAGTTTCATGATAAAACATTATCAGAATTATTCACTAAAGCGAGAATTCAAAGTGAATTTCAAATTTAAGGCCAGAGTAGTCTAAAAGCACAGCTATTTTGACCTTATATTTAAAACTCACTTTGAATTCACCTTGCTGAGTAACTCTGCTAAGTGTAAATATTTTAGTATTTCCATTTGACAATGATAGCATACTGTTGTGGCACCTATTTCCTTGGACAACAGAAGTTGTTAGAATTCTAAGACTGTTTCAAATCATCCAGGGAAGGGACATGTAATCACAAAGAGTTGAATATTAAGCTGATGCTGTACGAGATTGCAATGATTATCAGAAATATGGATTATTGCACTAAATGAGGAATTTGGTCTATTTCAGCAATGTGTTTTCTTTTTGTTTTTTTTTACATTATTTAGTGATTTGGTTGGTGTCAGTTTTAAATGCTTGTTTTTGAGGCAAGAGTGTTACAATTTCTTCATGTTATGATGTTTTGGTTCATCTTTTATGAAGTTTAGGACTCTGGAGATTGTGACTGTCCGTAGATTGAAAGCCAGCAGGTAGCTACACATATCGTGTACACATTCGGATTCTTGGCATGGATACTTTGTCACTTCCTTCTCTTCATTTTCTTGGACATTTAAGGCCTGACAAAGTAAAAAAATATATATTATTTTTTTAAAATAAACCTAAATTGTCACTTGTGCAGTTCCATTCTAGAAATAAATTAGACAGCTGTCTCATACAGAGTTATTCACTACTATCTGAATGGCTCTTACTGAACTGGGAAAAACCATTTGGCTGGAACAGGGCCATTCCGACTGCAAAAGCCGGACATTGTTCACACTATTTAACAATTTCTAGATTTTGCATACCAGGCTTCAAATGAGCCTGAATTAGGTCCAAGCCTCAAATCTGGGCACAGATGCTTCAAATCTGGGCCAGGATTATAACTATTTGGTCGCTGGCTGGTACCATTAAATGGTTAGAAATTCTCAACAGGGCTAACCCCCTTGCTAGCTTGCCACCACATTTAAGTAAAATAAATAAAGAAGTGAATTCAAGAGAATTCAAAAAGACTATTTCAATAAAGGAGGGTATAAAGTTCCCTATGCCCCTACCCAGATGGGGCAAATCTGCTAAACTTCCAAAAATTTGTGACTGGGCAGCCAATGCTGCTCAGTTGCTAGAAGGGCCTCTCCTATAGTCCCCTCATGCCTGGCCCCCCAATGGAGAGTGCTCCGTGGCGTAGGTGCAAGCTGGACCCTCAATACTAACACTGGCCCACCAGGGAATGTAGTGTTTCCCCTCCATAACCAGAGGTAAGAAGTAGGGAGAGGGGAATAACCTTAAAATCAAGCAAAAAAACCCACAATTTAAAAAAATAAATTATATATCAAACTGCTAAATATATTATATTAAACTGTAATATACCAAACTGCTCCTTTATACTCCTCAGATAAAATGATTCAAGATTAAGATGATTTTTTACAAATGATTAATTTGTATTTGTAGACAAATATGGTCGTTTGTCTGTTTAAAAGTTGGAGTGCTGTTTAAAATTTCATTAGGACACAGGTTGACTTGATAATGCTTTCCTAGGTCCTGTGTCCTGACAGTTGTTACATTAGTCGCCCGCGGGAGTTGGATGACTGCGTGGGGCTCTTGGATTCCTTTCGGGCCGTCGCTGCGGATTTTGGCGTGCCGATAGCAGCCGAGAAGACGGTGGGTCCGGTGGGAGTCCTGTCCTACTTAGGGATTGAAGTGGACACGTGGAGCATGGTTTTACGCTTGCCGGACGACAAGCTGACTCACCTGCTGCGGCTGGTGGATTCGGCAAAAGGGGCCAAAAAAGTGCAGCTTCGGCAGTTGCAGGCCCTGTTAGGGCATCTGAACTTTGCCTGTCGGGTATTGCCGATGGGCAGGGCTTTTTGCCGTCGTTTGTCCTTGGCAACGGTCGGAGTCAGGCAGCCATTTCACTTCATTCGAATCAATCACCGGCATCGAGAGGATCTGCAAGTTTGGAGTTCGTTTCTGGGTATGTACAACGGGCAATCCTGCTGGCTGCGCCCGGCAGTGTCCAATACGGATTTAGAATTATACACGGACGCGTCTGGGTCCGTGGGTTTTGGTGCCTACTTTCAGGGGCGGTGGTGCGCGGAGGCCTGGCCCCGACACTGGCGAGAGACGGAATTGGTGAGTAACTTGACGTTTCTGGAGCTCTTTCCCATTGTGGTTGCTGTGGAGCTCTGGGGTGTGGAGCTGTCGAATCGGAAGGTAGTGGTGCACACGGACAACATGAGTGTGGTCCATGTGATCAACCGATCTACGTCTGCGTCGCCTCCGGTGTTGACGCTCCTCCGGCGCCTGGTCCTGCTTAGCTTAGCACATAATTTGTGGTTGGTTGCGCGCCATGTGCCTGGGGAGCGGAACGTTATAGCCAACTCTCTCTCTCGGTTTCAGTGGGACAGGTTTCGAGCGGCGGCTCCAGAGGCGGAGCAGGCTGGCACCTCGTGCCCGGAGGATATATGGGACCTGGTTTCCACCATTTGAGCCGGTTGGCGAGAGAGTCGCTGGCGGAGTCGACGTGGAAGTCGTATTCTGCGGTCTGGCGGCAGTGGACGGGTGTCTGCAAGGACAGGGAGGCGTCTACGGACGAAGGTAGGTTGGGAGCGACTCTGGCCTTTTTGGAGTCACTCTGCGAGAAGGGTAAGTCGGTAGCGGCAGCAGAGAGGGCGTTAGCGGCCCTGTCTTTTCTGTTCCAGTGGTGTGGGTGGCAGGATGCGACCAAGTCATTCTGCATTTCGCGGATCATGAAGGGCTGGAAGAAGGGTCGTAGGCGGGACGCTCGGCGTCCCATCTCCTATGAGATCTTGTGCAGACTCCTGGAGCGTCTGCCCCAGATTTGTGTTTCGGGCTACGAGGTTCTCCTGTTCCGGGCCGCGTTTGCTGTCTGCTTTTTTGCGGCTCTTCGGATAGGCGAGCTGGTGGCTCCGAGTACGCGGGGGCCAGCTGCCGTGCAACTTGCTGATGTCACGGTCTCGACGGGTGACATGGAGTTGATCATTCGTAAATCTAAGACAGATCAGGTAGGTGTGGGCGCATCGGTTCGGATTATGGCTACTGGTGAGCAGTTTTGCCCGGTTAAGTTGCTGCGGGATTTCTTGGCGGTGCGAGGATCGGAGGCAGGATCCCTGTTGCGGCATCGGGATGGGTCAGCGCTCAGCCGGTTTCAGTTCGCCAGGGTTCTCCGGGCAGGGGTGGTTAGTCTTGGGTTGTCTCCGGGTTTGTACACCACGCACTCGTTTCGAATCGGAGCTGCCACGCAGGCTAGTCAGCTGGGCCTTCCCACGGAGGCGCTCAAGCGTTTGGGGCGCTGGCAGTCGGGCCGGTACCAGCTCTACGTGCGCCCCCATTTGCTGTAGGCTAGCATCGTTACGGTGATGGTTGTCTGTTATTTTCATTATAGGTCCTGCTCCTCGATTTGTCTGGATCGTGGGACACTCATTTGTTTATTGGGCTGCTAGGCGTGCGGAGGCTAGACCCTATGGCCGTAACCTCGGTTTATCGTACAAGGTAGCACGGGTACGTTGGAGGGGGATTCGGGGATTGTCCTGGGATGGGTTGTACACCGAGCTGGTACAGCTCCGGTGCTGTGTGTCAGGGCCGGTGACCTTGGTACTTCACGTGGGCGGGAACGATGTCGGACGGCGACGGTCGGTGGACCTAGTTCGTGCAATGCGGCATGACGTGGCCCGCTGTTTTGCGTTGTTCCGGGACCTGACCCTCGTCTGGTCCGAGATCGTTCCGCGCCCGGTGTGGCGGTCCGGGGGTCATGGTAAGGCTTTGGAGCGCTATAGGCGTAAGGTTAACATGACCATGTCTCGGTTTGTACGCCAACTGGGGGGTGTAGTTGTGAGGCACTTTGAGTTGGAAGGGGTTAATGATGATGTCATGAGACGGGATGGTGTTCATTTGTCCCCCATTGGGTTAGATATTTTCAATATGGGATTACAAGCAGGAATTGAGGCGGCGCTGTCGGCGGGGGGGCGCGATGCCCGCGCAGCGTAGTGCGCGAGGAGGGCATCGCGGTGGCGGGTTTCCCTGGACAGCGCAGAAGAAAAAAGGAGCTTTGGGGAGACGACAGCCTGCACAGAGCTGATGGCGAGGAGCCGGCTGTCGAGGCTCATGGTATAGAAGTTGGGAGAACTGCCTGTTGGGAAACACCCAACAGCTGGCAGAGTTGGACTAAGTTAAAAATTATTATGTTAAATAAAGCTGTGGCCGTTGCCCTTATCCACAAGAAGAAAGTGTCACGTGTATTATTTGGGGGGCAACGGGTTTATTGGTTGGGGGACTGGTTGGGTCAGCAGTCAAGTTTCCCCCTGGAAGAATAAGGAAGGGGGAGCATGACTGCTGCCCAAGATTGGGGGCTGGGTTAAAATGGATACATTTGTGGTTCTTAAGGAAAGGGAGAGGGAGGGGACTTACCAGTCAGCAGGTTCATTGAGGGATCTTGGCTGTTTTCCCACCCTCCCACCCTGTTTCTGGTGTTGTGGCTTGTGTCTTGTTTTCTTGTTTTGTGTTGTCACAGCTTGGCGGGTTTCCCTGGACAGCGCAGAAGAAAAAAGGAGCTTTGGGGAGACGACAGCCTGCACGGAGCTGATGGCGAGGAGCCGGCTGTCGAGGCTCATGGTATAGAAGTTGGGAGAACTGCCTGTTGGGAAACACCCAACAGCTGGCAGAGTTGGACTAAGTTAAAAATTATTATGTTAAATAAAGCTGTGGCCGTTGCCCTTATCAACAAGAAGAAAGTATCACGTGTATTATTTGGGGGGCAACGGGTTTATTGGTTGGGGGACTGGTTGGGTCAGCAGTCATGTGTCCTGACAGTTGTTACATTAGTCATACACTCAATACCAGGGCCGGACTGGGAGAAAAATTCGGCCTGGGCATTTTTTTAACACAGCAGCCCACTAAGAAGGGGGCGGGGCAGAGGAGGTGTGTTTTGTCATCACCAATGACAAACACGCCCCCTCTCAAAGTGAGCATGTTGGTTCAATGTTCTTCCAGGGCAGACCATGTGCAGAGCTCTGCTGAAGAGCTCTAGCATGAGAAAAAAGCCCTGTATTTGTTCTGCACAGTGCACGCAAATTTAATAACATGCTTGCACTGTTTCCTTGCAACTTGTCTCTGGTGTCTCTATAAATGGATACCAGGAGACAAAAATGCCAGGAAAGAGTATTGTGCATGTGTTTGGAGCCTGCTTGTGGTATTGCGTGTGTGCAGAGTGAGCTGGTCGTGGTGTGGTATTGTGTAATAAGGTCGGTTTTAGTCATGTTGTGTTTGTGGTGTAATGTGGTGTAATGTGATGCATATGTGGCTAGGGGCTGTAGAGAATGTGTGTATTGGGGATATAGCAAGTGTGTGCATACAGGCTACAGTGTGTTTGTGTGTATATAGGTGATGCAGTGTGTGTTTAGATATATAAAATAACTAAAACAATAGGTATTTTAATCCCAGTTTAGGAATAAACTTCTTAAAATTAGACAAACAACAGAAATATTTTATGGATTCCATGGTGACTGGTCCACTTATAAAGATTTGTACTATAATTATAAACAGATGTCTCAGCTAGTAGTGAATTCAATTAATTAGTATTTTTCAGATGTACCATTTGTGGACGTCAAAGTCCATAGCCCTTCATCTCTTTGCATCCTTATACTATGTTAAAAACAAGTAGAGGTTGAAGCTCTTCATAGTGCAATGTTCAACCACACAAGGTACTATTGATTCTCAACCATAGCATATTACAAGGAATTTGCAGCCTTCCTTGTAAATAAAGAAAATAACAACTTACTTTGTGATCTAGATATATCCACTCACACAATCAATAGACGACCAACTAGTATATTGCTTACAAGTGAACATTTGGCCTAATTGATTTTGGAATAAAGGTGAGTCCCATCATGAAAGCACATTTGTCACTTACCTTCATGAGATCCTTGATGTGTTCATTTATGGAGGGATTTAAACCCTGTAATTCGTTGTTAAATGCTCTCAAGTCCGAGTTGATTGCACTTAGACAGGCCTTCTGCAAAGTAAAGAACCAAAATGTAATTAGAAATAATAACTCCAGGGCAGATTCTAGGTATGTATAAGTGTCCATAATTCTGGCCTCCTGGTAATGTCTCACTGTTTCTCTTTACATTCATGTAGATTGTTAAAACTGTTGGTGGCTTTTAAAGATTCACAGGTTATTCTTTCCTCAATTTACAATTACTATGTCACGTTTCTCACATTCTCACACGATTTCAGACAGTACTTTGCAGAAGCGATACCTGTCCCCCTTCCACTCTAAATTTCAACTGCATTTCTTGACAACTTAAGAGCCGTCACAACTGCCTGTTTTATCATCGTTTCTGATGGGGTTTAAACTATAAGCTTCCCAACCTCTTTTGTTATTCAAGAAAAAGCTACATGTATAATTGACTGGGTTGGTCTCCAGATCCATATGATAGCATTATTTATCTTAATACACACTTCACTGCTGTGGATTTTAGGTTATTATTAAAGGATAGGATGAGGTGAAAATTTAGGGACAGGGTTTCTTAAACACAGGGCAACGTTTAGACAGCATCGGTCATTTTATGTTATAGAATAGCTGAAGAGACATGACACACATTTCAGTAGCATAGAAGACTGATTAGAAATGGTAGGTGAGGATTAGCCCTACTAATCTCAGGCAGACACATGGTGGGTATGAGATTACACTGTAGGATGACACTCAACCTGTGCATTACAGAGAATATTGGTTTAAAAACAAGAAATTTGAAATATATATATATAAAAGTTCCTGTCAGACTCCATCAAAACACGCTGTATATATCAAACATTGTTTGTAATGAAGTCACAGCAGTCTATACACGACATTTATTAATTACATTTCTCGTGATATTCACATTTGGTTAAAGGGTTACTCTGAATGACCACTAAAGTGATTTGAAGTGGTCTTAGTGCCTGGAATCCATACTTGTAGCATTTTTCTATGAAACGCTACCCATACAGATTATGGCTCCACCCAGGGCAGCGTCATTGAATCATCATTAGCCAGCCCGTAACAAGAATCCCGGGTGGCTTATGTTAATTCTGTGCATTATGAACAAGCATGCCTGCGTCAGAAGTCCAGTGCCAGCATGGCCCCATCTATGATGCCCATCCTCCCCCCAGTCTGTACTTCCTAAAACATCCCTCCTGTGAGGTAGAGTGACACTATCGGAGGAGGATCATGCACTTAAAAAAACATTGGTGCTGGAACGGAGGTGAGTTTTAATCTTTTATTTTTTATTATTTTGGGAGACAGAGCAGCACAGCAAGGGTCACTCTAACCAAAAACAGTGTTTTGTGGTAAGAATATTTTTTTGGTTGGAGTAATCTAGGCATCATCAATATTTATTTTATGCTCTACAATACATGGTATAATGTGCTATGGTTATTTTGCAGACCCACCTCATCAAGGGCTGATCTATTTATTTCACGACATGTAGAATTCTGAAACAAGAGAACAGAAACAATTAACAGATTATTTTTTTCTAACAAATCAATGGTCCTAGGCTGTAAATCCTATAATGCTCAGTCAGCCAACAGTCCAGCGCACTTGTAGCTTTACTGCTTACATGAAATTTGCATTTCATACTTCATTTCTAGAATAAATGTTGCATAGTGTGATTTTTTTCTGTCCGGCCTAGTTAAAATATAACAGAAACATGCTTATCCTACTTATGGCAAGAAAAAGTGTTAAGTAAACTTGATTTTAAGGGCAATCTCATTATTCTCACAAGTGATTCAAAATAGCAATTCAGTTTACTTCCCTGAACAGATTTACTCATTTTAGATAGATTGTGGTCAGAAGATCCTTACCTGTAGTTCTAGGAAGAGTTAGTTACGGTATTATAGAGAACATAATTCCCAGCTCCCCCCTTGGTGATCTCATAATGTAAACACTGCCTGAATTTACACAGGGCTCATTTACCAAGGGTAACAATTACTGTGAAATAGAATTCTGAAGAAAATTGCATCCATTGCACAGCAATGTGTTTATTATAGGATACCTCTGCAGCATAGTTTATATGTGCTCACTGACAATGTGGGACATGTGGTAACACCAGGTGATCATATATTTATTCTTTACTAGAAAATAGAAAATGAGTTTGGCAAGTGTCACTTCCATTAGCAAAGGTGCTCAATGCTATGAGTCCTTGATGATCTAGCACATGGCGGGATCTCTCTCTGTCAGTTTAGTAATAATAATGACATCATGATTAGCATGATCCTTCATTCTAGCTACAAATATAGTATTGCTAAATCGGGCAATTGTGATATATTAATCTTTTAATATATCAAAAAGATACAGTTAAAGGAGCACTCAAAGCACCATGGTCACTACACCCTTCTATCGTGGTTATAGTGCCAGGAGTGTGCTGGCGCCTTGCGAGTGTACTCTGTTAAACCTTTAAAAGATGGAGTATCTTCGTACCTCCCCTGAACTCAGCACAGCCTGATACAGCAGCTGCTGCGTATCTCAGTGGAAGTAACCAGATTCTCCTTGCAGGAACATCTGAAAGCTGGCAGGCAGCCTTTCTGAAATATTGCAGCTGGCTGCAGGGCTGTCTTTAACGCGGGGCAACCAGGGCAGCTGCCTAAGGCCCAGTTACTCCTGGGGGCCCAAGGCAGCTGCCCCGTGGGACCCGCTGCTTTCACTAATCTGTATTTATCCCCCACGGGCCCACCGGTGCAACCCGGGGCCCAAACACACTAAAGACCTTGTATGAGCAGGGGCATGTTTGGGCTCTGTAGCCCTTTAGCAGTGCGACCAGGCTCCCTTGCTTTTGGGCAGCGCTGGGAGGAAGTGACTTCCATCCAGAGAAAACACATTGCCGTGCGGGACGGAGGAGGGCGCGGTGACGAGGGGGCTGGAGAAGCCGACCAAAACTCCCAAAAGCCTCAGGCACCACACTAAACCCCAGGGAAGCACCCTCCAGCAAAAGGTAGGAAACTGAAGGCCGGGTACAAATGTAAATTTTGCATGTGTGTGTGTATGTCAGTATGTCTATCAGTATATGTATCAGTGTCAGTATGTCTGTCAGTGTGTGTGTCTCTGCGTGTGTCTCAGTGTATATGTCTGTGTGTTAGTATATCTGTCAGTGTATGTGTCTGTGTGTGTGTCAGTATGTCTGTCAGTGAATATGGCTGTGAGTGTATGTATCTGTGTGTGTGTCAGTATATCTAACAGTATATGTGTATATGTATCTGTATGTAGTCACTGTATCTGTGAATCTGCATGTGTGTCAGTGTGTTTATATTTGTGTCTGAGTATCTGCATGTGTGTCAGTGTGTGCATCTGTGTGTCTGTGTATCTGCATGTGTGTCAGGTTTTGTGCATCTGCATGTGTGTCAGAGTGTGTATATATGTCTGTGTATCTGCATGTGTATCTGTGTGTATATCTGTGTATCTGCATGTGTTTCAGTGTGCTTGTATATCTGTGTGTGTGTGTGACATCTCAGCATTCAAATGCCAACACCACAAACAAATACACCCCTGCATTCAAACACACCTGTATTAAACACCAAAATTATATATAAACACCCCTCTGCATTCAAAAACCAGCACAACACATAAATTCATGTTTGCGTTTAAATGCCAACACTGTATTCAAACATCAACAACACATACGAACACACCCCTTTATTCACACAAACATACTCCATAGAAAAACATGCTTACATTTAAACACACAAACACTGTTCAGTGTTACATTCAACTCAGTATGTATGGGAAAGGTGTAGAGCTCCAGCTGTCAAAACATTGTTGGAGCTGCACAATAAATAGGGATCTACATTTTGGCCACCCTTGCAATAGGGGTGTCAGTGTATCTGAATGTGTGTCATTGTGTGTACTACACTACACACAAATACACCCCTGCATTCCAATGTCAATGCTACACACAAATGTCTAGATGTAGTGAACAGAAGGGATAGCTCCAGGAGGGTAATAAATGTTGATAAAATAGCCTACGATACACATTCTGGCACTTTAACAACAATTGTAAATGTGGGGGGTGAATGGTTAAGAGCTGGATGCTGTGAGCTATTTCATGGATGCTGTGAGGGTAAGCAAACCTAAGATGTTCCCTCCCTTACCTGTTATTCGGGACTTAATGCAAAGACATACCTTGTTCTGAGTACTGTGCAGACACTCAGTCAAAGTGTTAGGCTGGCCTCTTGTGATATCATAAGCTGAAACGTCTTTATAAGTGCAATTTAGATCCTCAAATTTTTTCTGTTTGAAAAAACATATTTATAAAATTAGAGAGGATGAAAACATTGATGAAGATTACCAGAAAAAAACATTTACCTTTTTTTTACCTTTAGATCTTTCAAAAGACACTTCATAATATAAAACTGAACTGGGTTTTAAAAATAAAAGTGAACATGAATTTCTTTAGCAGAGGTCTCAGAGGAAAAATGGCGTTGGAGGACCTAAAGTGATCTCTGTCCTGACTGGCTAGCATGGAAGGAAATACTTAATGTGTGAAGGTGTGACTCCAGTGCTAGTATGTGATTACAACCACTGGTACCAGTATGGCTGCAAATTAAAGATGACTGCCTGTAAAGCAGGGTTTAAAATACCAAGTACTTTGCCACTAGTCATGCCTTATTCACCGCTGCAAACCTGAAGAATCTATGGCGCAGTCACCAAGGTTGAATGTCTACTTGCCAGTGGTAAAGTTTTACTTGCCAATGGCTAGTGGTCAGTGGTGATTTTTCTTTTTAAATCCATTTTGCTGTTCATGTGCTGTGAGGGCGCAAACATACGGCACTATGGAGGGAACTACTTTTAAAACCATTTAATGGAGTGAGGTATTGAGGAACTGTCCTTTTCAGAGCGCTGAAAGTTCCTACTTATTTCCTCAGGCTACTAAAAATATCATACCAACTGGACATTAAAATAACCTGCATGAGGTCAGTGAACTCATGTTGTAGTTTACATGGAACACACGCAAACACATTCATGCACATATTTTGCATGCTGACGGCAGATAGGATATAAATTCAAATATCAAATCTATTTTAGTCCTAAAACTTTAGTGGCCATCTGATTGACAGCCACTGTAGTGAAACAGTGCTGTTTCTCACAAAATGTCATGATCTTCAACACCAAGACCACCTTTATATTTACATTTGTCTTCAGTATTGCCTGTGTTATAGCCCACGTTCTTGAAATATAATCTTAGCTTTTAGTCTTTGTCAACTATGTATTTTGTGTAAATTGTGTACTTTTGACTTTATGGGTTATAGGTGAACTGGTCAGGGTAATTTTTCTGTTACTTTTGATGTGAGTAAATGGGTGAAACAGTAACAAAAGCAGAAAAAAATAACTTAATTACAGGAAAAATGTGGAAGTATTCTGATGTTTTCACTAGGACAAGAGCGTAAAATTCCCTTGTGGTGTGTTTTGTAGGTCAACATTAATGTCTTTTTGCTTGGATTTTACTACATTTGTGGTAGAATTTTCCATTTTGGAGGTAGGAACCTGAGCTTCGTTAGCACAGAGTGTGACAAAATATTAAGCTCTGAATGATGTCCGGTAAAATAACATGTTCGATCTCTTTATCTTGGATAAAGTGTTTGAAAAATACCTGAATTAAGCACATAAAGTCAGTATTATTTGTTTTGGATAAAATAATAGTAATACTGTGTGCACGTAGTAAACATAACCATGTATTATTAAAGTGGTTAATTTGGGAGCTGTCAGTTAACAGACATATGCACAACCCAATAACTTTTATTTATGGTTTGTGAGTTGATAAATCAGCAGGACCCATAACACCATGGAAGGAGTGCCCAAGGGAATCATGGGAAGATGGCATCACAAATACCAGGAAGTGTCAGGTTGTTATAAACATCTACCTATGGCTCGATCCTCAATTAAGTCAACTCTACAATGCTTTTTACTAGGTTGGAGGAGAAGAGGAAAAGTCACTACTTTTTACAACTCACCGTTTAGTTAACAGACTATTGGAGTTTATTTTAATCCTCCTCTATATTTCACCTTTCTACATCTTACATTATTTTGCTTACCATCAGTAGAGGGAGAGTTTAAAAGTGTATAAATGTTGGTATTTAGAAGAATATGCAATGCTATATTTCCTGTTACATTAAACATCTGATTAGAACATTAAATGTATCATCAATCATGTGACTTCTTCCAGTCAGCCTGATTATTTTGAATATTTTTATTTAGAATAAACTGTAGCAAGAAGATAATAGTAGATGAGGAACTATGTCTTGGAATACACCATAAAGATGATATTATTGGTAATTAAATTAACCTATCTTGTCAACCTATTTTAAACTGCAGTTTAAATATTGCAGCTTATTGAGCAATGGTTGCCGCCTGTGCGTGAGGTGGGTTTCTAGGTGTCAAAAAGACCAGAGCTTCAGCTCAAGGGTATATGTTATTGCCTCTCCCATATATATTGACTTAAAAGGGACACTACATGCACCAGAACAGCTTTATCAATATTACGTTGTTATTGTGCCAGTAGGCACCTAAATTTCAGGGGGTTAAACTGTTCTGGAACAGTTTAACCCCAAAGTTGCCTAAAGCGGCTAACACTACTCCCCCCCCCACGCATCATCCAGTTTCTAAATTTTCAGGTTCATGAAGTGACAGCAGGGACGCTGCTGATTGGCTGAGAGTGGTCAGCTGACACTCTCAGCCGATCAATGACTCCACATTCATTAAACTGACTTTTAGTGGCACTCTGCTCTTCCTGAACCTGAAAATTCAGAAGCCGGATGCCACCTACGGGGAGTGTGCTGCTGGAGGCAGCTTTGTGGTTAAACCACTCGAGAATGGTTTAGCCCCTTGAAGTAAGAGTGTCTCCAGGGACCTCCTGGCACCATATTTTAAATTAAGTTGTTTTGGTGCCTGGAGTATACAATATTTTAGGATCAACCTAAATCCTAATGTGTTCTACAAATCACACTGACACAAAATTCAGAGCAATTAAACCATGGCATTAAAACCATTAAACCAGAGTAATACCCCACACTGGGATGTATAATTAACCCAAATATTGTACATAATGGTGGCTCGAGCTCCCGTTAGTTTGTAAACTATATTTAGAAAGATTGCCTGCCATCCTCTGGGTTCCTCTAAAATTATAAAATACCTTTACTGATATAAAAAATATTTGTGTGATAAATTAAAGTTGTTGTTTTTTAATCTAAATTTCTTTAACTTTATCTCTATAACAAAAAAATATACAATGTTAGCAAATATAGTTATTGTGAAAATTGTTACAGATGTCAATCACTTGAGCCACATTTGGAAAATGTGATAATTTATCTTTACCTGGAGAAGAGTTTTGGAAACCACGCTAATCAAATTTCTGGATATATTATGGCATTTGGCAAAGTCAGGAGATTTTAGAGTACGTGCTGTTGGCTTACTTTCTCCAAATTTGGGCTGAGAAACCAACATTAACATCAGGATAAACCAGGTACCTGGAAAGAAAAAGCAAAAAGTTATTTCAATGTGAAGATGAATTATTTAGCTGAAACTCATTTAGATTTAGGAACATCCAGAAACTCATTCGGGGACTTTTGTGGAAGTGAAAAGTATTTTTTCATTTGTGTTTATTACTTGAATATAAAGAATACAGGGGACATATAGTTTATTTTTTCGGAAATATATAACACTACGGGGAAGATTTGTCAAAGCTTAGCAGGAACTATCCTGGGAACAAAATATTTGCAGACGCTACAGTTATTGGCCCTCATGTAGTCACAGAATTTGCTTTGATAAATCTACCTCTATTAACTACTGAGCATTATATAAAGTATACAGGTTAATGATTATATTGTGCATTAAGTTTCAAACAAATTGCGATATGTCCAAACTTTGGGCAATTGGTAATTCATCTATATTCCGTAACTCTGAATCGCCATCTAACCAAATCTCATGCTGTTTCACTTGTTTTGTAATTCAAGGCATCCATGGCTCCCAAAGAAAAGACATTTGATGAAAAAAAAGATGATTAATGGTTATAGGACAGCCACTAAATGTTGATTTTATTCACAGTGAGAAATGGCCAACAGAGCAGTAAAATGATATGTTTACATATGATATATTTGATCGATTTTACTGCTCCTCCTCTTTTTACCCTCTGTTGGTTACTTCTCTTTCATTTGATCTGTAAGCCAAATGGCAAGAAAATGTACCTAAAAGTGTACTGCAAAATATGTACATAATCATTTTTCCTGATTGTATGGAGGTACTTTGTCTGACTTGTTGGACTGAAATTCCACATGGACAAAACGTGAAATGCTCAAAACTATTTTTTAACTTGTATAAAATGGATTTGGATAAAAAAATATTTTTTTTACTACTATACATTATTAATAGGGTTGTAGTTAATATTGGGTTTCTGTTTCTTTCAAAGAAAATGTGCATAGTGCAAATGCTGCAAATCATTTTAGATGCTTTATTTCAATATTTCGAGAATTAGGTTTTCTACTAGAGTAAGGACTAGAGCTCCCAAGACTGAGTGTCGTCCAGTGCCTGGGGGTGTCTTGAGTGAATTCCCCATTTGGCTCCAGGAAGGAGCGGTTCCAGGGCCCCAGTCAAGCCACGGCGGCTGTGGGCAGAAGTGCTGGGGTTTGTCCCCTGTTCCAGCTAGGAAGCGGTCCTTGGCGGAGGTACCCAGCCAGGGGTACAGGGAGCTCTGTTACAGTATGCATACAACTACAACAAAATATCTATACACCACAAAGATCTATAGGAGGGGTAGACATCTTTTGGCATTCCAGATGTTCTAGAATACATCTCCCCTCATGCTTTTTCTCTTCAATTTACAGTAGAATTGTGTTCACGTGTCTTTAGATCAAGTTTTCTCAGTATAAATTGAATAGTCCACAGTGACTGCTCAGTAATGCTTTTTCAATAGATTGTTTTTAAATCGACACTCCAGACATTATATAAAGTATCATCTCATCTCATTGAACCAATTTTGCACAATTACTTTATGAACTAAACACGGATTAGTAAAAGAATGATCGTTCTGCTACTTAATATTCAAGTATGTAGAGATTATCTGGTGTGATAATCTTTCATCATAACAAATATGCTCCCGTTATAAATATATGTTAAATAATGTGGTTTTCAATCGGCATAATTATACACTGGGAAGGTTATCGGTAGAATGGGATTTAAGCCTATTTAAGCTATCTGGTCTTAACTTTGACTATAAAGAAATATGCAGTTTTAAATGAAGTAAAATAGTCAGTAAAAGTATTGCCATATCTTTTGGGCATATATATACATATATATATTTGTTGGAATGTAATTGTTTTGTAACAGCTACTGGAGAAGAAAGTTCACTCACTTAAAAATATTTGTTTTCCTCAATTTCTTAAACAGTAAATCGGGATTTTAAGAGCGACACCATCATGACCGTGGAGAGTATATCAGTCTCATTCTCCCCCCCTGAGGGAGATTTGCTCCCCTATTACCCTGTTTCCTACACCCATGGCTATTTTAAATTACTTACCATGTGTACCTTTAAACACAATTGATTTGTAAAAGATGTAACTATAATAGTAAGTTATGATATCCACAATGTTGCAATGTTATTTTCAATTTAATACAATTTAGAGATTATTGAATACATCCCATTTGACATTTTACAAATCAATATACTTCGGCTCTATCACAAAACCATGCCACAACCTACTCTAATTCTCTTATTTACCAAAAGACCCCCTCATACCAACTAGAATAGATCTGTCTGTCTGTCAATCTATCTGACTCAATCAATCAATCAGAATTGTGAGTAATCCAAAGTGATTTTGACATTTTAGACCAAAATAGCAGAACTTGAAGCAAACCTGGCTGGATATTTGTTCTTAATTCAGCTATTTTGAATCCAATTTGAAATCCACTTTAGATTTTCAACAATTCCCACTTAGCAAATAAACCCGTGTGTCTTTCTGCACATATGTAGCATCACATACTATAAACACACATATACACATACACCTTATACATTCTAGTTACATATTCGATTACTAGATCTTCACAAATTTGATTTATATGTATGAAGGTCTTATAATTTTAACTTCATCGATAATTGTAAAAATAATTTTCAGAATATTAAACGTTATATCCCTGGTATGTATGAGCCAGCACAATACCATAAGAGGAATTATTAATGACACCAAATGTGATTTTTTATAATTATTTATAATACTTTAAGATTTTACCCTCTCGTAGTAGCAAGATGATCGTAATAATTGTTTATCCATGGACTAGTCATATATGTAAAAAACAAAACCAACAACTACAAAAAAAAAAAACAGATTTACATATTTGTTATAAATAGTTATTATAAATAGTTTTCAGTTAATCTGGGACAAAGTAATGCATTTTGAAATAATCATTAAGGAAATATTTAATCGCATTGCACATTGATTGTGCCAGATGTAGCCTTTTAATCCATTATTAATCATTTGTACAACTTAACAGCTATTTAACACTTGAATTTGGCATTAATCTTACACAAATGGTCAGGAATTTAGATATTAATATTGTTCCTATTTCCCGCTCCTAGTCTATTAATTCCTTCTTAGTTTGTTTGTCAGTTTAGTCTGAAATTGGAATTGTTTAAGAAATATAAATAGCTGTTTGACAATTTCCCTTTCACTTAATTTTCCCTAATATTGTTTTCATAACTGAAATTAAAGTCAGAATTCTATTCTACAATATGCTCTGCAGGAGAGATGTCTATTTAGATGGATACAGAGTGCAGGTAACTCACACAGTCCTTGGCTGCTGAGTAGATGGATTCTGGCCATGATGCTCTGTGGAGGGCACTCAGCAGTGTTAGTGTTTGAGCAGAGGATGAGAGGAACAGCTGGAGTACATTGTGCTGCCTGGAATTGCTTTATATACACGGTTTACCGACTATCTTCAGGACTTCCCCAACATTTCCTTCTTTCTATACAGCAGATACTCTGCTGTGTGTGTAAATATGAAACAGCAATGAGAGTGTCCCTATCAGCTTAATAGCACTCAACAAACCAGGTACCTAAATGGAATGGTTTCTGGTTACTTTCCCAAGTCAGCAACAAGTCTCTATGTGTCTGTCTGTCCGTCCATATATTTATCAATTATTTACAGATATTTATTAAGCGCCAATATATTCCACAACACTGTACAATTAGGGGAGGATGTGCAATATACACAGACAAATACAAAAGGTATAGAGGGCATCCGTCTATCTATCTTTCCATTCATCCCATGATCATAAATGGGATGTATTCACTAAGTTGTGAGTTATGGTGAACGTTTGTTCTGTGTATCAATCTGTCTTTTCTGTTCACATTTCAATACTATGTTATAAAGTAAAAATTGTTGGAAATTCAAAGTGAATATGACATTTAAAGCCAAAATAACCAAACTGTCTGTCTGTCTATCTATCTATCTATCTGTCTGTTTATCTATCCATCTATCTGTCTGTCGTCTATCTATCTCTTTATCTATCTATCTATCTATCTATTTATTAATTTATTACTGGAATTTATAAAGTGCCAACATACTTGACAACGCTGTACAATGAGAGGGTAAATGTACAATATACACAGACAAATACCGATAAAGAGGGCATCTATCTCTCTCTCTTTCTCTCTCCCTAGCCATCCATTCATTCATCCATCCCATGGGCATCAATGGTATTTATTCACTAAATGTGAATTACGGTGAACTTTTGTTCCATGTACCAATCTGTCTTTTCTCTCCGCATTTCAAAAATATTTAATAAAGTAATAATTGTTGGACATTCAAGGTGAATTCAAGGAGAACGTCAAATTTAAAGCAAAAATAACCAAAACAGAAAAACAGTTAGCTATACTTACAATTTAGCTACTTTGATCTTACATTTAAAGGAACACTATAGAGTCAAGAACCCTATAGATAGATGATTGTATTCCTGACCCATTAGTGCTAAACAACTATGTTAGGTGGCTGGCCCCTCTTGCCCCTCTTAAATAAGTATATAGATGGATACAGAGTGCAGGTAACTCACACATCTATGTGTCTGTCTGTCTGTCCGTCCATATATTTATCAATTATTTACAGATATTTATAAAGCGCCAATATATTCCACAACGCTGTACAATTAGGGGAGAATGTACAATATACACAGACAAATACAAAAGGTATAGAGGGCATCCGTCTATCTATCTTTCCATTCATCCCATGATCATAAATGGGATGTATTCACTAAGTTGTGAGTTCTGGTGAACGTTTATTCTGTGTATCAATCTGTCTTTTCTGTCCACATTTCAATACTATGTAATAAAGTAAAAATTGTTGGATATTCAAAGTGAATATCACATTTAAAGCCAAAATAACACAAATCTGTCTGTCTATCTATCTATCTATCTATCTATCCATCTATCTGTCTGTCATCTATTTATCTCTTTATCTATCTATTTATTAATTTATTTCTGAAATTTATAAAGTGCCAACATACTTGACAACGCTGTACAATGAGAGGGTAAATGTACAATATACACAGACAAATACCGATAAATAATTAATAAAGTAATAATTGTTGGACATTCAAGGTGAATTCAAGGAGAACGTCAAATTTAAAGCAAAAATAACCAAAACAGAAAAACAGTTAGCTATACTTCCAATTTAGCTACTTTGATCTTAAATTTAAAGGAACACTATAGGGTCAAGAACCCTATAGATAGATGATTGTATTCCTGACCCATTAGTGCTAAACAACTATGTTAGGTGGCTGGCCCCTCTTGCCCCCCTTAAATAAGTATATAACTTACCTTTTTTCCAGCACCGTGTGGGTCTGCCATCACTGGCTCCAGCCCCTGCTCTGCTTCCCTGCCTGAGAACATCAGAATTGACAATCTCAGTCAATCCAATACTTTCCCATACGAAAACATTGCAAGGCTATTGCACAAACGCAGCAAAACATAAGCATCTTCTTCTAGGGATGCATTGACTCTATGGGGAAAGTTTAGCTCCTCCGTGCAGAGTGTGGAGACGCTGAATGTCAGTGCTGCACCCAGGAAGCCCCTCTAGTGGCTGTCTAAGTGACTGCCACTGGGGGTGTACCTAGGCAGCAATGTAAACACTGCATTTATTCTGAAAAGGCAGAGCTTACATTAAAATGCCTGCAGGAACAGGATATAGACACCAGAACCACTATATTAAGCTGTAGTTGTTCTGGTGACTACAGCGTCCTTTTAAAATTCACTTTGAATTCCTGACAGTTCTCACTTTAGTAAACAACCCTGTCTGTGTCTACCTATAATAATCTATGTTCAATCTGAAATGCCACTAGAGGAGGAGTTAACCCTGTCAGGTAATTATTGAAGTTTTTAAAAACTGCAATAATTACATGTTCAGGGTTAAGAGTGATGGGAGTTTGCACCCTGACTACTTCAATGGGCTCAAGTGGTCTGGGTGCCTACAGTGTCCCTTTCAGCAAGTCAGCTGAACAAGGCAAAATTTTTTACCTTTGTCGCTATGTCAAAACTCAATAATTCTGTCCGTGGCTGGTGGGCTGCTCACTACATCTTATTCCATGAAATATACCTGAAGGTGGCTAGCTCTATTGTGGATGTGTCCATTTGGGCATTTTAGTTTCTTCCCAGCATAATGTCCATATTATGAAAAAGCGAGGCCTGTAGAGTTCTTAATGTTATTTTGGATACATACCAATTCTGTACCGGCATTCATTGGCTGTAGAGGGGGGTAGTAGAAAGATAAGTACCACTTGTTTGTACTGTTTTATCTTTACTTTAAATTTTTATCTTTTTTCTCTCAATCATTACTCCTGGTATACCATCAAACTACATTTTATTTTGAAAAAGCACATTGTTAAAGTGGCAATGGCTACAAATATATTTCATGTGGCAATCTAAGCACCGTAAGAACTGCAGTGCATTACCCACTGGCACCATCCCACTGCAAGGAGTCATTTGGAGCACCTGCAATCCTTCCAGTCTTCTGATATCACTAAAGAGTAAGTTATCACTTGACATCACATTTTAACAATATCAGTTTATCCGTATTAGTATAGGCGTTTGCGATGGGGACTTGTTGAGTTTAAAACCCCAGATGTGCACTGAATATCTACAGGTAGCTATAAGTGTATTTTAATTTTTGTTTACATGTTTTACTTTCTCACCAAGCAGTTGTTTCTCAAAGTAACCCCTTCAGAAAAGGAAAGATCTCTGATATAGTGCTCCTCAAGAATTTTTAGGGGCTAAGGGCTAGTACCTGTTAAGAGATAGCAGTTTTTAGGGGGTAAGGGCTAGTACCTGTTAGGCATTAGCATAACTGCATGGTCCTCTGTTAGCTTGGAATCAGATGTTTCTGGAGCATAGAAACCCCCCCTGCCTATTATGGCTTAATTAATTGGCCTAGTCTATCTATTTAGCTTTTTTCTATCTATCTATCTATCTATCTATGGAAGAGACACAAAGAGGGATTTACAAACCTTTTAAAAAACAAAACAAAACTTTAAATCAAAATTAATGTTTCATTTGCTAAACAAGGTTTTATGCAGGATCGAAATATCATTCAAAAAGTTACATGAAATTTAGGGCACAATGCTTATTGATGCTATCAGTGCTCTAAATCTAAACTGCATTTTTAGGCCTAATAACTGTGTCTCACATGGTGTAGAGGAGTAGTAACTAAATGTAAGTACTCTTAACCCCCTCTCTTCCCCCAAATGAGTATTCAACACAGACACATTTTTTATTTGTGAGCATGTGTACAGCCTCGATGTGGGCTCTTGGAAGCTGAAGCACCAGGAGCCGAAGAAGACTGGCAGAAAGAGCAAGGCAGTGGCAGTGAGGGACAAGTTCAGGTAAGTATAACTCATCTTCTCCATCGCCAGCGAGGCCTGGACACCCAGCAGCATAGTCACTATTAAGGGTTTTTTGCAAATTGTGCGAAGATTCCAGAGGGTGACAGAGCAGCTTTAACTTCTAATTGAATAGAAAAGAAGCACTCCAAATGAATAAACATATATTACCCTGTATATTAACCCTTAGAGCACTAGCCACTTGAGAGTTATTTTGTTGGAAACATAGGCCTGAAAAGCCACCCCCTGAACTCTAACATGACATTCACATAGCATAGGTGAGAAAAAAATAAAAAGGTATTCTTCGTGGTGAGAGTTCCTGGCAGTATGATTCTGGTCTCCTGGTGTGCAATCTCTCTGGTGGTTGTTGAGCAGTCATCCAGATGACTATAATGTCCTGGTTGCTGCTTGTAGCCACTCTAGCAAGCATGTGTGGTGCAAAAATAGCAGATTATAGTTGCCACAAATTTGTGCGGCTGTCCTAGAACCCTGTCTAAAAGATACTGGTGCTCTAATCTGGAATGAAGTGCTGCTTGTACGCCACACCCACCTGCTCGTGTCATTTGTGTCTTTTTCGCTACTTGTATTGGTCCAGCCACAATGCGAATTATGTAACCCCTCATGTTGATGGACCATTATCCAATCTTCTGGGTGCAATGACAAGTTCTAAGACAAGAAATGGTGCAGCCAGCATCACTGTGACACTGCCATTACCTACAACCGTGCTTAGATTTAAAAAAGTATAAAACAACCCCTACATATACAATTGGGAACCCTCATTATGCATCTGCAAGTAGGGTCAGTGCTCCAGTTAGTAGAGGAGCTCTGATGTCCCAAGGTGATCACCCAAGCCGCCTCTGTCTGGCAAAGTATCACGGAAGCTGTAGTTTTACATAAGCAGGGGATCTACCTTTAATTCCCACTGCCCTCCATTTAACTTAACATTTAAGTAATGTGTCATTGCTGCTACTTCCAAGTATAAGATCATCTTCTATGAACCATCAGGATACCCCCAGGAAGAAGTGCTATGTCCTGTTTTCACAAATATTTGTGATAAAATGACAACAGTTGGTTCATTTCACCACTCATGATATACCCTGGACTGTCTACTATTTAAATCTATTTATATATATTACAGGAAGTTTGCGAATGTTGCCAATGTTTCTAAAACGCTTCTGAAAATAAGACAGTTCCAGTAAATAAGTACTCATACTCGTTTTCCTGGCACTATAGTGCCCTGAGGGTGCCCCCACCCCCAGGGACCCCCTCCCGCCCGGCTCTGGAAGGGGGGAAGGGGTAAAAACTTACCTTTTTCCAGCGCTGGGCGGGGAGCTCTCCTCCGATCCTCCTCCGTTCCTCCCCGTCGGCTGAATGCGCACGCGCGGCAAGAGCTGCGCGCGCATTCAGCCGGTCACATAGGAAAGCATTTACAATGCTTTCCTATGGACGCTGGCGTGCTCTCACTGTGAAAATCACAGTGAGAAGCACGCAAGCGCCTCTAGCGGCTGTCAGTGAGACAGCCGCTAGAGGCTTTGGGGGAAGGCGTAACCCATTCATAAACATAGCAGTTTCTCTGAAACTCCTATGTTTATAAAAGAATGGGTTAACCCTAGCTGGACCAGGCACCCAGACCACTTAATTAAGCTGAAGTGGTCTGGGTGCCTAGAGTGGTCCTTTAATATTCCGAGCTTGAAAAAGTAAAATGAAAAAAATTAGGCAAATACCTAACTTGCATCTAACTTTCCAAAGTCAAAGGAAAATGCATGAAAAAAAAGTAATTTTAAAACCAGACTGTCAGCATAGAGACATCCCTAAACACCTAAAATATGTTCATTTAGAAGAGATAATCAGTGGACAGGAGGGACCATACTGGATCATGATGTCAGTTACTAAATCTTATTATTTTAATTATATATTTTAGCAAAAATAGAGCATCACATGAAAAAGGTTAACACAACTTTATTTCAATGTTGACTGTTCTCCAACAGTGTAATTTCCAGAGAAGTGAATGTTCCCTTTTAATCTCATAAGAGTAATCATCAGCAATTAGAAAATACATGTTTAGTAATAATGTTACAGTGAATCATCTCTGCTCACAGTAAAAGTATGTCCAGAGATCCAGACCAATAGAAAAAAACATAAAACCTTCACATCCTCTTAGTAATAAAATAACACAAATTAGTCGTATTCATTCTTCATGCACACACATATTGGCATTAGTAAGATTTGTTACTATCAAAAGGTTACACGGTTGCTCCAACCTCCATGACCACTTCAGATTTTATAAGTGGTCATGGAACAAGTAATTTGTATGTGCAGCACATCTGCTTGAAACTCTGGACATATAGAGATATCTGCAATTTTGTGCCAGGATCTAGATACACCATCTACACATGTAGCCTCTGAACTCTGTTTTGGATGGTCTAATGTTAATTTTGTGCATAAATTACATCTATGATCAGCCTACACTGCACATTGGCGACAGATATAATCACTTTCATCAATTGCAGATAACACACCTGCACTGTGAAGCCCACTCCCTCACTTTTACATTATTAAATTGAGCCCTCCATTTGTTCCCTTCATTTGCATTAAGGAAATGATGCTTACCTTTGTTGCAGCCTCCCTCCACACATTTGATTGGACCACAGAACACTCACAGTGATGACAGACAAGGAGTGGAAAGAAATGTGGAGGCACAGGGCTGGATTCATGGTAAGTTTTAATCAAGTTAAAATGTATAGGGTTCTATACTTAGAACTCCAGCCTGGTATGTTAGCTGGGTAAACGAATTCCTATACAATATATGATCCTAAGTATAGACTGCCTAAAGTACAGCAATATAATGTAACACAGGCCTGTGGAGCTAAAATACCTTGGTTGTCAAAATACCTACACATACCTCAATTAATAGTTTTCTCTACGAACAGATGTAACCTGGGTGCTAAATAGTTTTCAAAATAGTTTTCAAAATTGCTTCACACTCTGGTGTAATCCCAAAACTCCACCAAAAAGAGAAAGTAATGTGTGCTAGTGAGTGGAGCAATTTATACCATATATAAGACAGAAGAAAGAGTATATATACACAAACTGGTTTCGATTTTAAGTGTAACTTCCAGCAATAATGGTATATATGTAAAGAAAAAAGGGAAAAAAAGCAATGATAGTGCAGATTGTATAAAAAATATATAAGCATATATACTTATAACAATTCATAAATTGTGAAGTATCACTTTAAGAAATATTTGGTGAAACCCCAATAGGAAAAAGCTGACATAAATTTATTATCTGCCACATGCAGAAAAAGCAGTACATATATACATAAAATAGAATAATAAAAAATGATGATAAAAAATAGGGTGACAAGCCCCTTACTAGATAAGGTGGTGAGTTTGACACATATATGTCAACTCACTATCAGAGTTCAATCATTAGGGTGGTAGGCTGCTCGTCCGGCGTTCTTCCTGTTCGGCTGCTAGAGAATCTCCTCGTGTATTGTCTGCTGCCAGAAAAACAAACGCCTCCGGACTCCGTGGTCTGTAAGCTCCTCCCCCTTTGTATGACGTCAACGCGTTTCGACAATTTATGAATTGTTATAAGTATATATGCTTATATATTTTTTATACAATCTGCACTATCATTGCTTTTTTTCCCTTTTTTCTTTACATATATACCATTATTGCTGGAAGTTACACTTAAAATCGAAACCAGTTTGTATATATATACACTCTTTCTTCTGTCTTATATATGGTATAAATTGCTCCACTCACTAGCACACAATAGTTTTCTCTAGTCAGTTAACAGTCAGAAAAATCTGACAAGCCCTCCAGTGTCCTTACACCATAGTACCAAAAACATGCTCGGTGCAAAGGAAACAAACAATATGTCCAACGCCTTTGTCAGGGGAATATTGCCGTTCTCTTATTGAGAGGTTGTGATTAGGTTTATCCTGTGGAGGAATTAGTTTAGCCAGATAGGCACTGTGTATATTACTCTCATGTCTTGGGGTTTACTAAGGTATGGGAGTTAATTTGCTTTTGGAGTGTGGCTATATTTGGATCGTATGGGGTGCTAAGATGCTGCCATTTTTACATAGTAGATAAGCAACAATCTCTCTGTGAAGAGCAGATAAACACAATATTTCTTTCTATTTATATCAAAGATCTCATAGAACTCACAAATGAGGTGGCCAAGAGTGTGGCTACCCAGGCACAAAAATCGGGTTTGCCGAGAGGAGCAGGCCAATGGCCTGTCACAGTGGGCCCAGGAGGTGGCCAGCCCTGGTGTCACTAAACAGCTTGTGAGGCAGCTGGAAGATTGCAGGAGTCACTGAACCCCAGGGAAAAGATCCCAAAAGGTAGGGATGTTGGATGATTTTCAAAAAAAATTAAGAAATAAAATGAATTTGTAAGTGTGTGTACACAAATTTGTAAATATGTGAGTGTGACAAACGCTCCTTCCCACTTACGTTTACCATGGACTCCTGGAGGAGTGTGGAGGCCGGCCTCCTGCCCACCGACTATGGTCCAGGTCTGGGACACCGTTTGGGAGTTACCCTGCCCAGCCGACATTAGCAGTTTTCTCTAGGTGCCCCTGGTTCTGCACTTTCCCTTCATGTGAATAGAACCGGACGCTGGTTCACTGGGGGCCGTTCGCATAAACTAAACCCACGAATAGTCCCAGCGGTACTTAGCCGATACCCCTATGGAACTAAATTCTGCATGAGGACTTCATGGGTTCCTGATCACCTCAGCGGGACTTAGCCGCAAATGTTATGGAACTGTTTTCGGCATGAGGTGACCATGCGGTTCCTGGACAACTTGATTTGCGGTTTTGAACCACTTTGAAATCTGCCAGGAGAACGCTTTTTGGAGGGAAGGTGTCTGAGACTAAGGGGAACAAACGCTACCTAAGAGCTATGCAGAGCACCCCGTATTGCAGCCGCAGGAGCTCCCTGAAATTGACCATCAAAAGCACCACTGCATGGATCTGAGCACTATTTGGAGAACTTGGGGACTCAGATCAGGGCTATTTAATGCTGCATTATTTGTGGGGTTATTTTATGTTTTGGGTTACTTTTATGTTTTTATATTTTTATGTTTGGCTCTGTGTTCCTGGGAGATAATTAGCTTACCGGTCTTTAACGCAATTATCTCCCAGGCCCAGAGAGTAATCAGTTGTACTCCCAGAGATATGTATTGTTTAGTTACTGGGAGGGGAAAGGGCTATAATCACTGCCCAGCCCTTTTGGCTTCGGCAGGATTCGGCAGATAAAGTCCTTGTAAGAACTAGAGCTCTCAGGACTGTGTGTCATCCAATCCCTGGGAGGGAATAAAGCTTGTCTCCTATCCTGTTCCAGGACAGATAGGCTCTAAGAGGACCCCAGTCAAGCCATGGTGACTGGGGCAGAAGCGCTGAGCTAGGAAGCGGTCCTTGGTGGAGGTACCCAACCGGGGTACAGGGAGCTCCGCTACAGGGAATGTGTCTGTCAGTATGTGAATGGATGCCTGTCAGTGAGTGTGTCTGTCATTGTATGTGTGTGTGTCTGTCAGTGAATGTGTATGTTAGTGTATGTGTTTCAAATCAGTGAAGCTGTGTGTCTTTCATTGAAAGTGTGTGTCAG